ATCGGTCCTCGCTGTGGTGTTATTCGATCGCCGAAACCGAAGTTCCTCTGATGGAATAAATGGGCTCTGGCTTCTCTTTAGATCTGGGTCAACAAAAACCACATGGTTAAAAAAAAAAAAAAAAAGTAAAACCACCAGAAACAAGCCGTTTATTGCCCAATAGTTAAATAAATGCACGGACCTTAGGGCAGAGAAGCGGCTGCTGGGCTGTCACACAGACCCCGTGTGCCTCTCTCCTTTTCCCCGCAGCATCCCAGTCCCTCCGAGACTCTTGTGCCACCCTTTTTCGCCCTGCACTTTGTTTTTTGCTGATGCGCTTCCCTGAGCGGTGCTGTGACACAGGCCGCTGTGGGCAGTCGCACCACGGAGGGTTAAGGTTGGTGAGCGCCATGGGTGTGCTCTGGCAGCCAATTAAATATGTTGCAACCTGCTTTAAGTTAGGAATACTTCTTTTAAGAAGCCTGGTCGTTATCACTTAGGTTGGAGCAGGCGGGTCGGCACGGCGGCTGTGCCTGCTGTCGTTGCTGGTGGAGTGAAAGCTCCACGTGGGTACAGAGCTGTCCTGAGCTGTCGCCGTGCCCGCTTTAACTGGAGTTTCAAATAGCTCGCTGGATAATCTTGTTGATAAACTTCTACTGCAACGAGACCGACAGCCGCCTCAGTTCGGGGCTTGTTTTTGTTTGTTTCAGGGGTGTCCCTGCAGCATGGCAGTGAAGTGGAACGGTGGCCATTCCTCCTCTGTCCTGTGCCTGTCGGTGAGCGCGGAAGGGCTGGTGGCCTCCGGCGCGGAGCGGGGCGAGCTGGCGCTCTGGGATGGGGGAGGCTCGCCCGTGGCTCAGCTGCGGCTCCCGCAGGCCGAGGATGTGAGCTCGGTGGTGTTCTCAGCCCGCCGCCCCAGCACGCTGTACACCTCGCACGGAGAAAGCATCAGCGTGCTGGATGTGCGCTCCCTCCGGGAGCCCCTGCAGCGCTTCCACGTGAACGAGGAGGAGATCAACTGCCTCGCACTCAACGACACCGACGGCTTCCTGGCCGCTGCGGATGACTCGGGAGCCATAAAGGTTGTGGACTTGGAAAGCGAGAAAGTCAGCTGGTCCTTGAAACACTCCAACATCTGCTCGTCTGTCGCATTCCGACCTCAGCGGCCTCAAAGCCTGCTTTCCTGTGGACTGGACATGCAGGTGATTTGCATACATGTGCACGGTTATTAATGAAGTGAAACAGCCACAGACTTTCACAGAGGGTGAAGGTGTTCAGCCTGCAGTCACCGGCAAGCTCCCTCATTATTCTGAAGTAGTTTTGGCCCAAAACCTAAGTGTTGGGGCTGTTAGTGCTATGTTCTACTCAGCAGCTTCTGCCCTTGTTTTTATCTTCCTTAGCAGTTACAATTCAGATGTGAGTGGGGTGAGGGGAAATCAGAGTATGCTGCAAAGCTCACTCATGCCATGTTAGCTCTTTGTTGGACTAAGCAAAACCAGCAGCTGTCCCTAGGAATCAGTCGTGGCTGCAGATGAGATGTGAAGGATGGTGAGGATAAGACACAGTGCTGCAGGCAGGCAGGCAGAGCAGCATCTTCCCAAGTGGACCGTATCACTGTGAGGACAAGTGATTTGCATAATTTATCCTTTGTTCTGTTAGCATCTTGAAAGCATGAAATGTTCTTTGCCTTTTAAACTCTTCTATCCTCACCGAGAGGAAACTTTGCCCTTTGCATTCTGAGAAGACCCATGGTGGGAGTTAAGTCTAGAGTTGGCCACCCAAAACAGATATTTTTCAGTAATTTCTTTCCAGTGGTTGAGGTCTGACCACTTTCCTCGTTTAGCCCAATATGAAAACTGTCACTTCTGAAAGGTTTCTGTGGTTCCAGCGGTGTCAGGGTGAAATTTGTGTGACAGCATTGAGCAGTTTCACCCTGTTCTTGAAACCAAAATACATCTCACACCCATTAGAGAAAACATGCTGATATTTAGTACAAACTTTTTCTTCCTATTTTTCTTTGCTAAAGCCATGATGATAGATCCTGTGTGGGAGGAGTAAACACTCATTCCCTCAGCCGGCTTAGTTCTGATCCCTAAAATGCAGATACACAAACTTGCAGCTGGAAACTTTTTATCAGAATTGTAAACATTTGTGTACAACTAGGTACAAGTGATCATTGATTATAATCAGTAAAGGATTCTTTTTTGTGACTTTTTAGTGTTAGTTTCATTTATTGTAGCTCAGCAAGTTGATTTTTAGGTGAAAGTCGGTATCCCAAAACAGAATTTCATTAGTGTAGTGAAAAGAGCATCATTCTGCATTGAGGCTTCATTCAAGATACATCATTTCGCAAAGGGGAGCTTAGCTGCAGAACTCTGAAGCTCTGTGCTGCACCATGCCTTTGGACAAATTATGAGCTCTACAAAAGATGTTCTGGGCTTGTCAAACCCTCAGGGAAGCCATGGCTGATGAGAATTGAAATTTAGGTTGCTTGGAGTTCTTTCAGGAGTTCCAATGAAGCAGGGAAAATACCATGAGGACAGAAAATACTTAGTCTGCAGAAAACTTGTCAGCAGTTGATGGATTTGTCAGGCTGTTGCAGTGCTGTCTGTGATGAAAACAGGAATATTTTCTGTAAGCATCACCCAGCCCCTCTGATTTACAGTAAATCACAAGTAGTTTTAGTGGAGCAGCAGCAGTGGTCACTGAAACAGGAAAGTGTCAGGAAGTGTCTTTCAGATGTTTTAGTGTGATTTGGATTCCAGAAATGCAGAGGCAGGCTCTTTTGTGAACTAAATTTAAAGACTCCCATACTTCTTATTGGTGATTTCTACTGAAGGAATATTTTTATTAATAACAAACTGAAGCTTAGCTTTATGAAGCAAACAGTACACCAGTGCTGCATTAGACTGTTGGCCTTGAGAATGCTCACTATCAATTCAGATCCTACAAAAGTCTAGAGAGCATTGTTTTTAATTGGCTCAGTATAAATTTGTAGTGCTTGAACTGCTGTACAAGAGACATAGGATTCTTCACTGGGGGCTTGAAGGTGGGGTGGCATTGGAAAAGGAAGTCTAAAAGCACAACCTTCCCCGTCTCAGCAGGTAAAGCATGCCCTACTCCCTAGCACAAACCAGATCTACTCGCTGGATATAATAATAAATACAAATATGCCTATTTAAAAACCACAACCTCAACTACTGCTTGCCTTTTGCTGTCCCATTTTTCAGACACATTCATGGAAATGACTATTTTAGGCCAAGCAGCAGAGACAGAAATCCAGAATGATAATGATCTCTATTCACTGCTAGCGTTTCTCTGTCCCTCCTTCTCAATAATTGATGTGCAGTACATCATGATTACTACTGCTGAGATGAATGCAGAAGCTTTTAGAGCTTTTTTTTTTGCATCCCTTTCGTGGTCTAAAGGTCTGAGTCATAGACTGCAGAGTGTAGCAGTGGGGCTTTGGAAAGCAGGCCAGAAAGATTCGCTACATTTAGTAGGGCAAGTTTAACCACTCCTTACCACATGCCTTACACCTCTTGGAGTCATGCACACTTTGCTCTGCTAGGGCAAGTGTGGTTGTTTATTTTACTATTGAAGTTCTGATTTGAAGTAAAACACAGAAATTATTGATTCAACCTGGTTTTTTTTTTCTTCCAGGTGATGCTGTGGAACCTACAGAAAGCTCGTCCCTTGTGGACCATGAACCTGCAGGATTGTGACATGGAGGAAGAGAGCCTGCAGTCAGCTGGGCAGTTCTTCAACCCGCCGCTCGCACATTCCCTGTCCATCGCCTCTTGCGGCAACATCTTCGGCTGTGGAGCTCAGGACGGTAAAGTCAGAATATTCCGAGTCACCGGTGTCAGGTTTGAACGTGAGCTGGAGTTCCAGGCTCACAGCTTGGGAGTCTCACAGGTGCTCTTTATGCCAGAGGTGTACTGGTTGTTTTCTGGAGGAAATGACGGGAAAGTCTTGCTGTGGGATATCAGCAGCAACGTCGGGAAACAGCAGAAAAGTCCAGCAAAATCTCTGCACAGGAGGAAGGCCCAAGCAGCTGCTTCCAGCAGAAAAGATGGGAAGCTCAACAAAGTGGCCTCAAATGAACACCCTGGAGTTGTGCCAAAGCTCAGCATTGAGCACGGGGAGAAGGTGAACTGGCTCTTGTGTGCAGAGATCAAAGGCTCCAGGAGAGTGTTGGTTGCTGACCAGACCAGCTCTGTATCAGCCTATCCATTGCCAGAATCTTAAGGCATCCAGTTGTTCACAGAAGTCTGGGGGACAAAACCACTTCTTGGAGCCAGCTGTATCCACTGACAGTGAGCTGGACAGTGAACCCCTCTGGGTCCCTGGGAAGGGGAAGGGATTTGCTGTGCACTCGTGGTGTCCCTGGCCTCGTGCTGGTTCTTTGTGGCTGTTATGTTCACAGCCACTGTCTCTTGCAGGGTTGGCAGTTTGCTGCTTGAATTTAGGTGAAACGGGTCTCTATATTTAGGGGTAACATTAGTACATGACTAAGCTGATGTAATTAAGGCTGGAGGAGAGAATTAGTGCTGAGGAGACACCCACAATGCTATGTGAGGCTGCTGAACAGCAGCAGGGCTGTCACTGGCTCAGCACTGGGCTGTTGCAGTGCTCTGTGTGACTGTTCCATGAAGCTGTGTCCCAGTTGGCTTAAACTGGTCATGGTGGAATCTGGTTTTCATCAGTCTGTCAGCAGCTGCATAGACTAGAGGTGCATCAATTAACAAGTAATCAAATGAGTTTCCCTGTGGTTGCTGACTGAATTTTTTCACTGCAGCAGAAGAAGGAGCAGGGGAACTGTTACACTGTTTGCTGGGTCAGCTGTCAGTTAGTTGTGTATCCCAGGGAAAAAGAACTATTACACTTGTGTTAATAAATGCTTTCTCTTTCACTGTTGCCTTGTCCTTAGACTCACTCTAATAGTGCCAGAATCAAACAAAATTGTGTCAAAAAGTGTATTCCCCATCACAGGGAATAGGAAGGGCCAAAGGCACAGCTTCTCCCAAAGCTTTGTAACACAATGAGCAGAATTTGGCTTGCTAGAAGCTTCCCTTTTGCAAATTGAAGGTAGGAAGACCTAAGTGGAAATGCTACAGCTCTGGAAATGTTCAGTTCATGCTGGATTTCCCATGAAGTGGGCAAATAATTTTAAAGGGAGGGTTTTTTTCCTGGGCTGTCCTTATCCTGTTGCAGAACTGAATTCCTAGTGCTGGCTGAGGACCTGCTGCACTGGTGGGGGGTTTGTGCTGCTGACATAAGCTGGGTTGTTGCCAGGCCCATAGTATTATGGAAAAATTTATGGGAAAAGCTCTTTTTTTTTAACATATTCAGCTCTGGAAAATCATTATCTGGTTGTGCTGCCTCTTTCCACACTTTATGGAAGAAATTCCAACTGTCTTGATTTTGCTCAAAGCAGCTCCCTGCAACCAAACGCAACTCATTCTCATCCAAATCAGATTTTACCTTCTTACCTTTTTAATTAAAAAAAACAAAGCCAATCTGCTTGTACAGCCTTTCCCAGCAGGAGACTGGCCCAAGACATGATCTGGTGGGCACAACAGCGAATTGAAGCCAAAACACAGCAAAAAAGAAAAAAGAAGCAGAGTGTAGCTGTTCCCTTTTTTGTTACCTGAGAATTGGTGCATCTATGACGACACAAGATCAGAGGAAGGGGCCAGGTTGGGCTGTGTGGTTCAGTGTGTGATATGTCCATGAACGTGTGTTGGTGCATCCATGACCTATATTTGGATATACAGGCTATAAAAAGCCTCGGAACAAACAACCTCCTGCAGGACTCGGATCCCCTGTCCCTGCTGTTGCTGCCGGCTACAGGAGAGAGGAGCGAGCCCGCTCCGGCTTTTATTTCTTCTCTTGGTGTTCTCCAGGAAGATGGCGAAAGCCAGCATCTCCCTGCGCTCCCTGAACGAGACGCTGAACAGGTCCTGCAGGGTTGGGCTCACCCTGTGAGGGGATGGGGAGGGCATGGAGGGCTGGGGGACAGCACACCAGACAATCCCTGAGCACGGCAAACCTGTGCTTCCCTGGAAACTTTTGTGGGCAACAAGGTGTAAATAGATATTGTGTGTTTACAGGGAGGGAGGAGCTCATGAACAGGCTTAATCTCCCCTTCACTCACTGGGGAGGAAGGAGGGACAGCCATCAGCTCTTTTCATTCCCTGGCTGCCATCCTGGCTGTTTGCTGCAGGATTTGGGCACTTGCTCCATCACCCATGGCCTGCAGCTGCATGAAGTGTCACCAGGCAATGAGGGCACTTGGTCTGTTCAGCCAGGAGGAGACTGAGGGGAGATCTCATTGAGGTTTACAACTTCCTTGTGAGGGAGGGAAGTGGGAGTAGAAGTGGGATAGACACTGATCTCTGTGGTGCCCAGTGACAGGAATGGCCTTGTGTCAGGGGAGGTTTAGGTTGGATATTAGAAAAAGGTTCTTTCCCCAGAGGGTGGTTGGGCACTGAACAGGCTCCCCAGGGAATGTCACAGCACAAAGCTGCTCAAGAAATATTTGGACAATGCTCTCAGGTACAAGGTGGCATTGCTGGGGGTGGGGGGTAGGAGTCCAGGGCCAGTTGGATCCATGTGGATCCCTTCAAACTCAGCATATTCTGTAATTCTGTGAAATTCGGGATTGCTGTTCCAACTGGAGATTTGAGGTGAACTTCTGATTTTCAGACTATACCTCAGAGTCTGGATGGTTCAAAGACAGGGAATAAGTGGTTATCATGAGAAAAAAAACAAACAAAAAACAACCAACAATGGACCTTTCTTATAAGTTTAAGGAAAGCAAATCACCATCACTGGGGAATTGGGACATATGTGACGCTGATTCACCCTCCATTTCCAAAGCCTGCACTTAGCAAAGGAACGTGACCAACAGGTTCACAGACCTCCTGAAAAATAATCCAGCCTCAGCTGTCCCTGCTGGCACTGGTCTGTGCTTGGCTGTGCAGCAGTAGGCACCAGTGGTGGTGGCTCAGAGCAGATACAAAGATATGAGCATGGATCCTCAGGAAAAAGAGTCAAAAAAGATCTGAAATTCTCAGCAGTTGGAGGCAGGCAGGATACTCTCCCCACTCTGTGGATTTTCACATCTGGATTTTCATGTTACTGTGAGGGAGGTGAGGCCCTGGCACAGGGTGCCCAGAGAATCTGTGGCTGCCTCATCCCTGGAAGTGTCCAAAGCCAGGTTGAACAGGGCTTGGAGCAGTCTGGGATAGTGGAAGGTGTCCCTGCCCATGGCAGGGGATGGAATGAGATTGGCTTTAAGGTCCTTCCAACCCCAGTCATTCTGGGATTCTTCAGTATGTTACAATTAAAGGCAAACTGTGCAGTGTTGAGACATTTTAAAGTCAAACCAGGTGTCGTACATACAACTGTGGTTTACCTGCAGTAAAAAGGATCCTTATCAAGAGTATCACAGCTGATGGGATGCAGTACCTCTGCTTAGGAAATGAAATATTATGTGTTGACAGACAGACTTGGAAAAAAACCGCTCCTCTTGTGGAGACCCTGTTCATAACGTTGGTTCACTCGCAGCCTTTATGACTCTGATTGACAGGATGGTGAACACTAAGTAGCTATTGGAGACTTGACCAGGGGGAGAAAGGATGAAACAAATCCTTAAAGGAAAAAGTGAAAAATAATTCTGTGGGAAACTGCTTGAAGTGTGTGTCTAACATACCATGGAGTGAGTGAATGGGGAGAGCCTGGATGCTGCACTAGCCTAGCCTGGCATATCAAACCCACGTGACAACTCTAAAATGTAATTTTCTGTAAATGCCTGAATAGCAAAAATAATGTTTCACATAGAACCACACTTCCAGAGAAGGGGGAATGCTGTAGCTTCTACTGCCTGGCTTCCAAGTATGTTCTGTGTGCTAACAGGAGGGGAATTTTAAAAGCTTTTTGGTAAAGAATGTGTGTAGACTAGTCAAAGTAAGAGGTCACTGACTTAGTGGTAACTTCACTTACACTAAAGGAAGTGTTCAGAGGACATGATGGAAATGAAAGCAGGAGATTTAATCCATTCTTCCTCTTTTCATTACAAACTTATATCAAGAGGCAGCAGCACTCAGTCTATCAGAATTCAGTTACAGCTGTGGGAGATCAGTTATGGATCTACCACAATATAACTGAACAGACATTTTTAGATCCAAAACTGGCAAATGCTGAAGTTTTTGTTGCAGATGCTTAAAAATACAGAAGAATTAGTTTATAGACAGGCAATTTAAAAAAAAAAGTTTGGGAGGCAGAAGTGGTCATATAGTAAAGAGTTGGACTGAAGGCTGCTGAGAAAATACTGCTGCACTGAGTAGATTAGCGATGAGATCTTGGACAGCTTTACTCTTACTTGTAGAGGAGGAAGTTGGAGAATGAGCCATAAGGAAGCTTATTTACCATGATAAAAAGCTGCAAACCAGGAAGCAATTTACTGGCAAGAACACTCATTATCAGACAACCCAGCTCTGAAAGTCATTCACAGCAAAGCTCGACTCACCTCAGTTTCTGCACTTGCTCTCTCGGTGCTGATAGATTCCATCCAATTATGACACATCAATCCTTCCAATTCTTCTGAACTCCCTACACTTCTACATGACACCAGCTTAATTTTCCAATTAAAGTTCTATTTTCATCCCAAAATTCTTGCTGAAGCCAGAGGAGTCCAACCGCAGTAAGATGAGCTTTCACCAGGCTACAGAGGAAGCCTCAGGAAACAACAGAAAATCATTAGACAAGGATCTGCACGAGAATGCAGACAATGCCAGACAATGAAGTGAGGTCGGGTATACTTAGTAATATATGCCACTGCTGAAGTCCTTTTATTTTCTCCTCATTCAGGTCAGCTGCAGACAGAATCCAAAAAAGGGTTTGGTTTGGAGAAGGGGGAGGCAGGAGGAGCTGTTGATAGGAAAAAATGGCATTTTTGTTCCGTCTCTTATAACAACAGGCATTGAAATACAGTGGGATACATGTCAAAGAATGGAAAAATGTTTGAAGGGTTTTGTTTTGGCTTTTTTTTTTTTTAATGTCATCACCAGCTTCTGCGTGTTTTATCCTTACAAAAAGTTTACCCAAAGATACACATATTAGGGCCACAAACATGAATTGAGTGTTTAACACAGGTAGGTCACAGTTCAGAACTCAATACCCTGAACATTTAAACAATACAATAATAATAGTAGTGGAAACAGTGGAGCAAACTAAGACTGAAAAAAGATAAAGAAAAATATGTAGGTAATAATATTTGCTGATGGTGTAGTTACTGTTAGCTGATACAGCCTGAAGTTCTGCCAGTAAAATAAAAAGAAAAATCATAAAAAATTCTGTGAGAAGTGATATTTTGCTAGTAAATCACTATTGACTACATAGTACTGAAACAGCTGTTCAATATTTAGGAAGGAGCTTTGAATTATTTACATTAGCTTTCAGGTTCTTAGGATTCTTGAGAAGACATCTCGATGTCAATCAGGTAACTGAGGAAAATATGGAGAAAACTGTCTTTACAAAAACCACCCACAGTGACAGAAGCCCAGCGTATCCTGTATCTCCAGGAGAGAGAGAAATGGGTACAAAAATAAATATTTGTATTCCCTTGTACCTTGTCTCAACATAGCAAGGTTTTTTAACCAGGCACTTTTTTTCAGCGAAAGTAGAGTGGCTTAAAACTCAAACCTCATCTTTGATTTACAATTTTAAATAGGGAAAAAGACAAGATACCAAATAATGACAAAGCAGTTAATAAATTCAAGCTAGGAAGTAGTTTTTATCACAGTTGTTCCATGGAAGGACAGTCCTATTAAAAAAAACACTGCAGGTGTGTCGCACTGTATTAGGAACAGCGAAGCAGTACGACACTGACTCCTTTAGCTGCATTGT